CATTAATTCTTTTGCGTAGAGACTGTCCGGTTTGGCCAATGTACATGGCAGACGGGGACTGCTGAGCTGGAATGGATATGCAAACTAGACACAATCAACTCAGGATTGAATAAGGACTGGGAATGGCTGAGCCATTTTTTTTTCTCCTCTTACTTAATTGGCCTCTCAGAGTTGGTAAGACAACTCCCACCTGTTTATGCTCTCTGTATGTGTGTATATATAGCTCCTCAATATTTATTCCACTCTATATGCATCCGAAGAAGTGGGCTGTAGTCCACGAAAGCTTATGCTCTAATAAATTTGTTAGTCTCTAAGGTGCCACAAGTACTCCTGTTCTTTTTGCGGATACAGACTAACACTGCTGCTACTCTGAAACTTAACATACAAACTAAATACAAAATCTCATTGTTTCCTATTTGTATATTCTGCTTATTAACTTACACGTGAGCTGAAGTTATGTTTTTTTTTAAATATAAAGGATATCAATAACTGTTTAAGATCTTCAAAGTCAAAAACAATGGATATGTAATCTTAAATTTAAAACAGTACTTATAAAACCTTGTACACTTTCAAAATGCTCCTTAACCAATTCTCACAAGAAAATGGAGGTAAATTTTGCATCAGCGTACGCTAGCACAGACACCTTAGCCCCACATGAGTGTGGGTATCTGAACTCATGGATTTCCAGGTCTGATCAGGACATAAGGGAGTTGCCCACCACCAACTAGATTAGTGGCAGAGCCAGGACTAGAACTTATGTCTCTCAACTACAGATCATGTATTTCAATCAGCTCTTTCACAGTTTTACATAACTCTCTGCCCCACACACCATTTATCCTGTAAGGGTTAGTGATTTAATGACCACGTAACAGGTGGAAATACTGCACATTCTTTACCCTGGTTTTGATGTCAGCACTTGAAGAAATGCTGTCCTTCAGAAATGGTTTCCAAATATTTTGTTCTACAGTGCATGCATCCATGTTTAAATCTACACATTTACTCTGTGAGTGATTAAAGCTATGAACAACAGATATAGCTAAGAAGTATTTTAGTTCAGTTTTTAAACAGAAGCAACTTGATTGGAATGTTTTCTTTAAATAGATCAATATGACTTTTGTATTAGGTAGAACCAACTCCCTCTCCCGCTCCCCCCCCATCTTACTTTGTTGAGACACATACCTGAATTGGTGTGAAATTTTCCAACCTCAAGTTTATTAAACTAGATTCTTGGTTTTCTACCCAAGACTCAAATAGCAGCATAGTGACAGTGCCACGTAATAGAGCAAAGCTGCTGTCAGCAACACCGATTCATATATGAGGTGAAAGCCTGATCCCAGCTCCTGTACATGAATAAGACCGCCAGAGCAGCATACAGGAGCTCTAAAAGCCCCAGATTTGGCCAGAGGATTCCCCCAGGACAGGAACTGGTGAAGACAACCATAAGGCTGCTTTCTGAGGACCACCTCACAAGTCCTGATATAAGGGATAGGGCATGTCAGGCCTCGGACTCAGAGCAAGTAACCTTTTAGCATGTAACCTTGGCAGTGATACAGCCCACAGGCAACCAGTGACAGGCCTCCAAGGACTAGGTTATGCCAGGGGCTTCAGAGCAAATCCAGACTTAGGAGTGTGCTAGTTGAGCGTTTGAAAGTGGAAGGAAACTTGGGTGAAAGTGATCATGAAATGATAGAGTTCATGATTCTAAGGAATGGTAGGAGGGAGAACAGCAAAATAAAGACAATGGATTTCAAGAAGGCAGACTCTAGCAAACTCAGGGAGCTGGTAGGTAAGATCCCATGGGAAGCAAGTCTAAGGGGAAAAACAATTGAAGACAGTTGGCAGTTTTTCAGAGAGACATTATTAAGGGCACAAGAGCAAAACTATCCCACTGCGTAGGAAAGATTGGAAGTATGGCAAGAGACCACCCTGGCTTAACCAGGAGATCTTCAATGATCTAATAATAAAAAAAGAGTCCTACAAAAAGTGGAAATTAGGTCAAAATAAACAATGAAATGGAGAAAATGTACATCAGTTTAAATAAAAACATGATTTTAATACTGTTTACAGATTTACAGATATATCACATTACATTCTTTCTGCATTGTTCACTCATCTTGCATATGTAATCAAACAGGAGTAAACTACAATGATCTGCATAATTTATTCTGATCAGATTTATTCTATAAATGTCTACAGATTAACCCCAATAGCAAGTTCTCTTCTCTTCCCTCAAACGTATGAAAAAGTGTTTCAGTTCGAAACTCGAAAAAATCATTCAGCCATCTCAGTGTCAGTCCATTTTGTTCCAGTAGCTACGGAACTCTAAAGAAAAATTTAGTATTAATCTTCAGAACCAGCAGCATTCACTGAAGTCACTACCATATTGAGAATCCTTCTCCAGCAACACCCGAACAATACACTCATTAGTGTATGAGTCAAAACAGTTGCTTTGAACATATCCATCTTCAGGCACACCTTGTGATGTACACAGACAATGTTGTTATTTCCTTCCAAATGGATCAGACCACACTTTTAACCCTACAAATCAAATAAAAAAACACCACCATCAAGAGTTTATAGATTGTTATAGGCCAAAAGGACAATTATAATTATCGTCTAACCTCCTGCATAATAGGTCAAAGAACCGCACACAGTAATTTCTGAATCAAGCGCATAACTTCTGTTTGACCTATAGCATATCATTTAGAAAGACATCCAGCCTTGATTTAAAGAATTCAAGTGATGGAGAATCTAGGTTAGTTGTTCCAATGGTTAATTACTCTCTGTGTTAAAAAACTGCACCTTATTTTTAGTTTGAATTTATCTAGCTTCCATCTGTTATGTCTTTTTCCACTAGATTATAGAGCTGTCTATTATCAGACCTCTCTCTCTCTCTCTCTCTCTCTCATGTAGGCACTTGTAGACAGTGATCAAGTCACTGCTTAACCTTCTTTTGGATAAATAGACTGAGCTTCTTTAGCCTCAATCCATAAGGCATGTCCTCCCGACCTCACCTCATTCTTGTAGTTCTCTTCTGAACCCTATTCAATTTTTCAACATCCTATTTGAAGTGTGGATACAGTGGATACAATATTGAAGTAATGGTCTCACTGATGCCATATACAGGAGTAATACCACCTCCCTACTCGATATCCCCCTGCAGTTGATTTTGGACTTTTATAAAAAAAAATTAAACAAATAATCCTGTAATACATCTTAATAGATATGGCCTATTTCAGAAACACAAATAGCTTCTTGTCTGCAACAACAAATGGCCAATCTTGAATGGCTAATAGCTAGTACTTTAATCCTCCCATAGGCAAAGTAAATATAAGGGCTATCAGCAAGAATCTCTTTCACTGGCACAGCAAGCCATAGAAGCTAGCTGGAAATTATACCAGTAGTCATCAACAAAATATTTCAGACACTGGAAACGATAAATGCTCAGGCAGCTCAGTTCATAGAATCACAGAATATCAGGGTTGGAAGGGACCTCAGGAAGTCATCTAGTCCAACCCCCTGCTCAAAGCAGGACCAATCCCCAACTAAATCATCCCAGCCAGGGCTTTGTCAAGCCTGACCTTAAAAACCTCTAAGGAAGGAGATTCCACCATCTCCCTAGGTAACCCATTCCAGTGCTTCACCACCCTCCTAGTGAAAAAGTTTTTCCTAACATCCAACCTAAATCTCCCTTACTGCAATTTGAGACCATTACTCCTTGTTCTGTCACCTGGTGCCACTGAGAACAGTCTAGATCCATCCTCTTTGGAACCCCTTTTCAGGTAGTTGAAAGCAGCTATCAAATCCCCCCTCATTCTTCTCTTCTGCAGGCTAAATAATCCCAGTTCCCTCAGCCTCTCCTCATAAGTCATGTGCTCCAGACCCCTCAACCTTTTT